GACCCTAGTGAGGATTAAGCAGTGTGCAGACAATGGGTGGATAGACTAATCAAAATTGTGATTTAATTAAGACATGTTGTCCCATAGTGTAGGCCCTAGACACATGAAACATCTAATCAGAAAGATAAATACTTACCGGTACATCCACATACTTTGAGGCAGCTTTCACCTTCAAATGAAGAAGAGAGTACTTTAGCTGTGGAACCCATTTTCAGAACCAAGGCTGCTATGGTGTCTGGCAGTGTGGCCTATAGTTCAATGTCTGCTGAACTGACAGCACTGACTCATGTGGTGATTTCAACTTTAGGAGTACTCACAAATTCAATCATGTGTCTTTTGTAAGACCATGGAAATCCAGCTGATGTGTTAAGAAAATTGGTGCAGAGAAAGGCTTTCAAAAAGATCAAACTGTCTTACAACTAACATGAAAGATTAATGTGAAAAAAATTAAAATTAAAAAATTAAATACAGCATGACCGAGTCGCAATTAAAATACAATTCAAAGCATTTTTATTATTTAGGATGGTGATTTAAAGAAAGAGAAACATCTCCTAAACTCAGTGAATTCATAATAACACTAACCCTTTGACGGAGAAACACTTTAACACAGCTTATATTTGCCATTTTTCTGACAGTCAGAGCTTGGCGGGTCAAAATAAACTAACTGTTCTTGATCTAGTACAGGAGGTATAAATTCTAATGTTCCAAATTCAATTTGATAATGGGGTAACATTGACTTGTTTCAAAGGACTCCAGTCACTAAAGTTCATCTGATGCACAGCAATGGAAAGGTGTCCAACAATGAAGCTGTAAAGTATTCCACTGGAAGGCCGTATAGAAAGAACAGGAGGAAGGTGTTGGAAGTATGTCTGTGTAATACTTACAGTAAAAGACAGGAAGGAAGAGAAGAGCGTTCCTTCATCATATCTGGAGAGCTTGGCTAAGACACTCTCCAAAATGACCACAAACTGAAAAAAGAAGAGAAAAAGAGGAAATGAAAAGCAGTGGGGTAAGTACTTTACATTTAAAAATAAGGCACCACTACCTACACGTTATAAATGCTATGTCGAAATCAACATTCTTGTCAAAGTCACAGCGTACTGGTAAAGCAAAATGTGCTTCAGTATCAAAAATGTATAGACAGTAAAATAGACAGTGTTGCTGCATTAACCTGTTTGTTGTTCTACGGACAGCAGTATGTCATATTATTCATGTCAGCTCAGATCTATTTTGTTGATTTCTGTACTCTCATAGCACATAAAATATTCTTGGCTCTTCTACAGTTTCCAGTAACCTTGTCCCAGACAAACTTTTTCCTCAGTTGTGATCCTTTTGGATCTCCTTAAGTCTTTGTGCAGTCACATCATGTATTTGACATGTGAACCTGAATTTACTTGTGGCGATTCTTAAGCTACCATGAATCTCTTTGTTGTTGTCACCTTGAGATGTGTTGAGACTTTTTTATATTGTATCTCTTTGTGGTTGTATCTTTTTGTTCTGAATACATTTGTGTGAGTTTTTTTTTTTTTTTGTCTCATTTTAAATCTTGTGTTCTGTTGTGAGTCCATATCACATTTCTGAGATTTTCCCTCTCGTTCAGTGTATTATCACTAATCAGCCACTACATTCAATCCACCAGCCTAACGTTGTATAGGTCCCCTTTGTGCCACCCAAGACAGCTCTGACCCATTGGTGCATTGACACAGGATGTTTGCAGGCATCCTGTGGTGTTTGACACTGGGACACTGTGTCACAGTTGTGATGTGAAGCAGTTGATCAGGCTTGTTCCAGAGCATCCCACGGATGCTTGATCAGAATAAAATCTGGGGACATTCAAGGCTGGGTCAACACCTTAAGCTCTTTGTCATGTTCCTTGAGCAGTTGCTGCAGTGTGGCGAGCCGCATTGTCCTGCTGGTGAATGTCCCTTTCATTAGGTAAAGCAGTTGCTGAGGTTTCCCAGCAGAACATAGCACTCTAACAATTTTTGGTGGTTTTAGTGATTGACTAATTGATACATGAAAAAGGTCTGCTTCCAAAGTCTTTTGAAGTCGAAGCTTTTCTTCTGTTATGTATCTGTGTCAATATTTGCATACCACCTGCCTAGCAGCCAGTTTGGCCACGCCCTCGTACCAAGAATGAGCAGCTGCCTTGCAGTCTGCTATTATCTCTTCAGTAGAGCTGCTTCTGCTAGATCATCTCTTGGCATCCACTCAGAGATCTGGGGTTATGGTACAGAATGACTGTTACTTTGCTTTCGTCAGGTCAGCTGAAAAATCCTAGCTTTTCATAAAGGGGACGTTAAAGAGACAGATGGTAAAATGGAGCATTTCAAACAGAGGGTGAGAGCAGGCGCGGCAGCAATAGTATGCAAAAAATAATGTTCTTGAACATTAAAGCAATGAAACATGTTCTAGTAGACCCCCAAAATAACATTTTGTGCATATATAATATAGGCTCTTTCAACAGACTCCAGGTCGGTGGCTAGTGTGCTCTACCCATGGTGTTGATGCATGCTGTAATAGTTGTACCTTTGCTACAAGCAGAGTTATCATCTCCTTCACCGTCTCTTCAATTAGATTGTCGATTTGGGAGTGGTATTGTCTCTACAGAAGAAGAAAAAACAGCTTACTCTTGTCATTCACACTTGGTAACTCCACCATGACGTGACAGCAGACATTAAGGGAAAACAGTAGACATGTCCAATTTAGTTACCACTGATTAATCTTTAACCATGGGACGCTATATTTAGGAGCATACATTTTTAGTTGTTTATAACTAACAAGTAGGTTAAACAGGATTCTAAAAAAACAAACAAAAAGTGGTGTATTGGAGTAAGATTAATTTTGTATGCAGTGAGAAAGACTTTAGCTTGAACAGCATTGCACTTGCTTCTTGTCTTTATGCTAAGCTTGGCTACACCAGGCCTACAGGATTCATTTAAAATTGACAAAAATCTTTTCATCTGACTCAGGATAACATGGAAATTACAAATATGCTGTATCAATTGTTTGATACAGTACTAAACATAAAGAGGGTGTGGTTTTTGCCTGACTTTTTGTTAGAGACTGGAAATATTTGTTTGACATTTGTTGATTATAACACAAGTCTTGCAATGAACTGACTGATGACTGATGAATACTGATCATTTAAAATAATGCAGTGTGGCATTCCTTTGATTAATATCTGTTGACTGTACAATACAACAAAAAGAATGTTTCAAAAAATATTTATGCTGTTCACTTCAGAATGTAGTGTACATGATAATTTAAATAATAATAATACTATTACAGTCCTCCATCTTAAATATCAACTATATGTTAAAACATCTTTTTATACCCATGGAACATCATTATGCACATAAAGGACATTATTGGCCTACTTTGACAACTTGATAATCTGATGCCACATAATATTCATATTATGGTTTGTACCCACGATATCTTTCCATTTGTTGACATCTTGTTCCTGTTGAACCTTTAAAACTTAAACCTTATTTGAACTTCAGGAACAGTATTTTTTTTATTGTTATTTTTTTAGAAATGTTTAAACTGCAGAACGGGTATCAATACAAGTTTGAAAAAGATTATGAAAAATTAAAGCCTTAGCTGACAACAAGTCTTGAATCAATGTTTCTTTAGTTTTTTTTGGTTTTTGCATTTTAAAAAACATTTGAGGGATGTGGCTGCACACAAGATGCCAAACTTTAGCAATGGAGGTCCCATGGCCTCCAGTGGAGAAATTGTTTTTTTTGTGGTATTCATGACACACTAGAGACTAGAGACAACACTGCCTTATGTTGGTTGCAGCTCGTCAATGAGAGAACAGACAAAACACAGGACACAGAAAAGGGCAAGTGTTACATCAAATATTGTTTGGTGACAATTGAGGAAATGCCTTCCTTTTTCTATTAGTTTGTTTAGTTTCTAGCTTAAACTTTGTGGCAAAATGTAGCTCACAAAATACCTTTCAGCTGTGGTAACTAATATTACAACAAATAAAGCAACTAATTATAATGTTATGGGTGAGATGTTGTTGTATCAGGGTTTTTTCCTTAACCACGTAACACTCACTGGTCTGGGTATGTGTATTTCAAATACTAATGGCCCATTTTGAGTTTTTTTTTTTTTTTGCAAACTATCATTTGAAAGCACTGTGTTCATGAAAAGAGGGTAAATGTTTATGGGTCAAACTCATATTAATCCTAATGTTTGCAGCTAGAATGCTACAAACGTCGTGTAAAATGGCTCAGACAACAGTTTTACATGACAAAACAAACTTAAATCACTTGGGATCAGAGATTGTCTTTATCTCTGTGCTGATAAATGTTCTCTTAGCTTTGACCTACAGGAGCAATGAAAGCTTGTGAAGGTCTGTAAGTTGTCTGATTTCTCTCTGCTATCCTGGTTTCTATCCCTTTTACCCTCACCCCAACTGGAAGAGTCCAATGGGCCCCCTTCCTGAGCCTGGTGCTGCTTGAGGTTTCTCCTTGTTTAAAGGGAGTTTTTCTTCCCACTGTAGCCAAGGAGCTGCTCAAAGGAATTATTTTTTTGATTTATTGCATTTTTCTCTGTAATATAGCATTGGAATGTCTTCACCTTGCTATGTAATATCTCCTGAGATGACTTATGTTAGCACCCAATAAATAAAACTGAATTTAATTTAATTAATGCAGTGCTGTGAAAAAGTTTTTTCCTCCCAACAGATATCTTCTATTTTTGCATATTTGTCAGACTGTACAGATCATCAAATTAATTTTAATATATGACAAAGATAACCCAAGGAAACACAAAATGCAGTTTTAAAATGATGATTTTATTTATTAAAGGAAAACTACTGTCCATACCCACCGTGCCCTATGTGAAGAAATATTTGCCCCCTTTAGATTTTAGTCTATCACATGACCAAATTAATTTGCCAGTTGGGTTCAGCTTCACCAGTCACACCCACATATGATTGCTGGCAGGCCTGTTGAATCTAAACACCACCTAAATAGAACCTGTCTGGTGTTGTGAAGTAGCTAAAGAGTCTGAAAAACCAGCACATGATGCCATGATCTGAAGAGATTCAAGAACAGATGCGAAACAAAGTCACTGACATCTATCAGTCTTAAAAGCGTTGCTGAGGCTCTGGAACTCCAGAGAACCACAGTGACAGACATTATCCACAAATGGAGAAACATGGAACAGTGGTGAACCAGGAGTGGCCGGCTGACTAAAATTTCTCCAATAGCGCATCGACGTCTCATCCAGGAAGTGACAAAAGAACCCAGATGAACATCAAAACAACTGCAGACCTCACTTGCATCAGTTAAGGTCAGTCTACATGGTTCCACAATAAGGAGGACACTGGGAAAAAATGGCATCTATGGGAGAGTTGCAAGGTGCAAACTACTTCTGACCAAAAAGAACATAAAGGCTCATCTGGCATTTGAAATAACTATCTAGATGAGCCCCAAGACTTTTGATATGACATCTTGTGGACTGATGAGTCACAGGTGGAACAAGTGGAAGGCATGTGTCCCATTACATCTGGCATAAAGCTAATGCTGTTTGGGGCTACTTGGTTTCCACAGGACCTGGACCACTTGTTATGAGTGATGGATACATGAAGTCTGCTCTCTGTCAAAAAATCCTCCTGGAGAACATCTGCCCATCAGTTAAAACTCAAGCACAAATGGGTTATGCAGTATGACAATGACTCAAAGCACACAAGCAAGTCCACCTCTGAATGACTCAAAAATAACAAAATTTCACGAGCTAGGACAATATCAGCAAACTGAAGCTTGATTGTTTGTTGGTTGCGAATGAGCATTGTATAGGTGATGACTTTAAGAGCTGATGTGGTGTGGGAAAATGCTTAGTCAGGGATCAGCAGTGGCTCCTGGGCCGGTGGAACCCCGGTAAAACATCCCATAATAATGAAACAAAGAGTGGACGTCTTGAGGGTTGGAGCAGATGAGAAGCAGATATGCTTGAGGCCCATGGACTTGATTGAGTGGTTCGGAACCAATCAGCTGGAAGCTGTGCCAATACGGAAGGAGTGGCCAGAGAACATGCCAGGATTTTGGATGTCTTCAGGACTTGCTGGAGTGGATGAGGAGCCAGGATAAGGTGACAGCTTGATCGCTCTCTGTAACAAACTGAGAGTCAGAAGGCGAAGCATCCTGAGATTTTCTGGTTTGTATATGGAGTACTACAGACTTGCAAGAGCTTGGGTGTGAATCTAGTTTGGAGGATGTAATAGGCATTAGATTACCCACGAGATAGTTTTGTCTTTATTTGAGTGAATAGACCAGGCAGCCTTCAGAGATGAAGGAAGGTTGAATAGAGGGATGTGGGAGAGGTTCTGTAGGATGGCAGTGCGGATCGAACTCGACTCGACGGTCAATGTTGCAATGAGTGCAGGAACAAAGGAAGGCCAACAGAAACGAACAGTACATGTGGTGGTTGGTTTGCTCAATTATCCTTGTTTGTAACATGTTAACGATGAGCGTGCTGAAAAGCTGCAATGATACAGATCCTAAAAGTGACACCCAGAGTAGGTGTCTTACATGAATTGCTGGAAGTGAGCTGGATGGAAGAATGACGGACGTCTGTGTCACTGGGATGGAGGGCTATGTTGAGAATTAGAGTCACGTTGAGAGAGAGAGAGAGAGATAGAAAGAGAGGAAATCTGCTTCTTATTGTGGATGGTACATGTGGTGGCTGGATAACTAAATTATCCTGGTATGTGATGTATTAAAGATGAATGTGCCGAAAAGGTGCAACGGTGCAGCTCCCAGTAGTGACGCCCCCAGTGAGTATCTTCGATGAAATGTTGGAGGCAGGCTGGTGTTTTAGAGGTGAGCTAGGTGGAAGAATGATGGCTGCCTGTGTCTCTAGTATGGAGGGCTATGTTGAGAATTAGAGTCAGGTCGCTGGAGGAGAGGAACTGGCATCCCAGTGCCAATAGATAGAGTGTGAGAGAGAGCTGGTGCAGCCCGGTGCCGGACGTGAAGGGAAAAGGTTGTTGTGAAGTTTCAAGGGAAGATAAGTGAGCTGTTATCCCATGGTCAGAAGTGGCTACAGTGGTAGAGCTGGGAACAGGTTGCAGCAAGGTAGGTTGCTGGTGGATAGGATGAATCACACCTGGCAAACCAGTTGAAGCTACGGAGAGCATGGTGATGCCATGGTCGGGTGCACAGTATGGCATGTAATGGGGAGATAAATGTTGTGGTTTATCACGTGTTGAAAGCTCTAGGAGTTTGTCAGAAGCTGAAATAGTTCAACTTTGTGTCAGCAAGGTGGCAGGTGAAGACTTTCTCTTAAGCTCTCTGAAGACCAAATCTGGTTGATGTAGTTTCTGGAAAGAAGCTGATCTCATCACCTGGGCCTTGTTGTGGATTCAGTGATCAGTGTGGAGGAGATCTGGAGCCAGGTTGGACGTTCCCATAACGGAGGGCTGGTGGATGAACGGTCCGTGTTGAGTCAGAGTTTTCTAAAAAACGTTCAAACTGGCAGCGTGGCCGAGCGATGGCGTGTTGCTTTGTGCACGAGAAGCGAGAATGAACAAGTAGGACGGGCAGAGTGATATGTATAGACATATGACAGGAAGGGGAGCAGCTGAGGTGTGGTCCTGCTCCTGAACCTCAGCTAAAGATTTTAAGCTCCATTAAGGTTTTGGAGTGGCCAAGTCAAAGTCCAGACTTAAATCTATTTCAGATGCTGTGGCAAGACTTTAAAGGGAAGTTCATGATCAAAAAACATCTAATGTGACAGATTAAAACTAGAGTGGACCAACATTCTTCTATGGCGATGTTCAAGACTGACCACAAGCTATCATAAATGTTTAACTGCCAAGGGTGGCCCAACCACTTATTACATACATACATTGCTGTTTCACAGGGGTGATAGGTTTTCAATTAATCTTCAATAAATTACCATTTAAAAACTGCATTTTGTGTTTTGTGTGTTTTCTCTGTCTGTTGTTAAATAAACATGAATATTAGTTTGATGATCTGGAACACTTGTGTTAGAAATGCAAATAAATAGGAGACATCAGGAAGGGGGCAAATACTTTTTGACAGCACTGTATATAAAAAAACCAAGGAATACAGCAGACTCATTTAAATTAATGCCATTTCTCGGAATTTGATATTGAAATTTATTAACTGACTGCTCTGCAGCTGTCGGTTTACTAAGAAATCTACTCAGATTTTTGTGACTGGTTTTATAACATTAAGTCAGTGTAAAACATTTTACAATTAAGATGGCATAAAAATACATTGTATGTATAACAAATGTGTGTTTTTACACAGTTATTTGTTGTTTTCTATTTTCCTTTTTTATATATTTTTTGCAAGCATTCAACTAATTATTGTTTTGACATTTACTTATAAACTAGTGCTTAATTTCTTAAAAAAAAATCTTACTTAAAAAAAACAAAAAAAAACAACAACAACAAACAATTAACACATTTGATAATGCAGCTGACATGTAACTGTAAAAAAATGTTTTAAAAACTGAGACCTAAATGGTCATAAAATATTTTATAGTCTTCCTTTTTTAAACCCTGAAGGGACATTTAGAACGATCAGTCCTGCTCAAGATTTGCTGTCAAGAAATTCAGAGGCAGAATCACTGCACTCACTCCTTTTGTTTGTCATTGTAGCACCAACAGAACAGCAAAGAACTTTGCAATAATTAATTCATTGTCAGTAATTGGTATCAGTCGAGATTCTGTGAAATATGAGATTTCTCACCTCTGCCCCATGTATATTCAATACTATCTACACATATGCTAATGAAATCCAAACAATTCAAATGGAGGAAGACAGACAGGGGAAACTGATGACTAATTATACATTTGGGAACTGGGGAGGTGACACTTCAATTGAATTTGTAGCCACACTTACCCACTCTCTAACAAACTTTCACAAGACAGAGAGGAGGAAAAAAAAGCAGCAGAAAAGGAGAAACACAGAGGTGACAAGCCACATGTAAAATTATACATGTAGTAAAAAAACAAAACAAACAAAGAATCTGCTTTCAAGTAACAGAAGAAAACAACAGAAAAGGCTTCCACACATTCATTTGTTAATGCCACTGAAACAGAAACACGAACACTTTGATCTCCAGTGACCATGATTTGAGTTAAAGCTGTAATATGTCTATGAGGGGTCAATGTAAACTGAGAATATGTTCAAACATTTGTTCCAAAAAGGGTCCTCAATCCCACCATATATTTTGTGTCTCCTACCTCCTGCCCCAGGTCCACTGCACACAGCTTGGCTGACTGAACTTTGGCATCCACCATTACATTGAACATAGTGCAGATGGACTGCGGCACGCGGAAGTCCGTGGCCCGGCTGCTCCTCTGAAGCTTAGCCTCAAACGCTGCCCGTGTCCTTTAGAGAATGGAAGAAATGTCCAGAGCCACAAGCATTTAGAAATACGTCTTTGTGCTTCAACCCCTCAAACAGGAAATAAACAAAATATGAAATAAAATGTGCATTTTCACGTTTAAGGAATTGTGCTTCTTTACATGATAATATAAATGCCATCGACACACTGCAAACACCGAATTGCGAGCCACTGCACTTCCTGTTTGCTTATTTAAACCTGTCAGACTCAAATATATTTTCTTTGTTAAATATATTTTTGTGTTTGTTTTTTGAGAAAACACTGAACCCACCCTGATTGCAAAAAACATTATCATCAACAGAAGCTGTGGGGAGTGGTAGAAAGTAACCATATGTATTTATTCAAGTGCTGTATATGTACTTCATTAGTATTAAAATTCAATCCTTACATTACTCCACTTCTTTTCAGAGTAATATATTCTTCTACATAAAAAGCTAATAAAATAGTTACTTAAAGAACAAACCATTCCAACATCTCCTGACACCTTACAAAAATGTTGTGTCTAGTTGAAGTACACTGCTTTACCCTTTTCCAATAACACTTGAGAACTTTTTTTGTTTTTGTTTGTTTGTTTCTTTTGGTGATGATAGATAAAACACAATGACAAAATTATTTGTTTTTTGTCACTCTGTAGAACAGCTCAAAGGTGTTCCAACATGGTGCCTCTGTCAAGTAAAGATTAATATGACTTTGCTTACCTGCAACCTCTGTGAATAGTTTGTATAGAGAAGATGCAAAATGTGTCTTGGTTTAGATTAGGCAAAGTTAGGATTCTTCAGTCTGACACCAGGGGCCTGTATTATGAAGCGAGATCAACATACCCACGGTATGTTTCAGAGATCCAGCTTGACTAACCCTAACAATCGCACTCAGGCTAACTGGTCCTACAACGATGGTCATCAGCTCAGTAAGTCCATCCAGGTTTGTCTGATCTGAGTATGAGCGCGTGCACATAAAATGGGCGGAGTTCTCAGCATCTGACCAATCACGACTATGGACAAATCTGGCTGCAGAGCGGCTCACTTTACTGCCAAGGAGCAAAATATATAATCTTTACTAAATATGAAGAATATAAAAACATCATAGGAGCAAAAAGCAGCACCGTCGCAGCAGCCAAAGCCAGGAAGGAATGCTGGCAGAAAACTGCTGACTATGTGAATGCATATGTTCATTAGTTTATAATAAAATATAATATGATCACTGTTCCATCATGAAGGCACGTATCAGACAATAAGCACATCTGACGATTCCTTTTAATTAATTTGCTGCCTAATGTTTAAACTTGTGGTATATCTGACATTTTTTTTTAACTTTTTAGCTGCAACCCTAGCAGTGTACAAAGAACATGGGAACAAATTAAGAACAAACATAAACATAATTCAAAGCAGTGTAGCTTTTTAACGTATCCTACAAATACAAGCTTTAATGCTAAAGTCAGTTCACTGTTGTGGGGTGATATTGGTACGGAAAAAAGTATGAAATAGCTTTGACATTGCCTGTAGCAAGCAGGAAAAAAAATGAATGGAGGAAGACAAGAGCTCATAGAGATCCTCGTCAGGGTGCGCTGTTTTGCCGGTCCCGAAAAACCCTCACACTCTTCAGTGACCCCTCACAATTCACGCTCCCATGTGTAGCAGGTCTTCAATAAATGCCGGTGAGGCCATTTTGTTGAGAACTGCTTCGTTTTCTGCTCCTTCTGAAGTTTTACAGGAGAGAACTGATTTTCAGTGGGCGGTGTTTTTACACCCAGTGATCTCAACCTTGAACATAACCTGCTACAGAGCAGGTTAGCCGTTCAGTCTAAGTTACCATGGCGATGTACCCCAGTAACAAGAGAACCACCGTCGTGGGACCAAAAACCCAAGATTTAACCGAAAGTTACCTCGCTAACCCCAAATCTTGCTTCGTAGTACAAGCCCCAGGATACACGCCACCACAACATTAAAACCACCTGCATAATATAGGTCCACCTTGTGTTGCCACAACAGCTCTGACCCATTGGGGCATTAACACAGGCCCTTGCTCTGTGGGGTCATTCAGAGGAATGTTGGCAGTGGATCCTTCGGGCTCTTTGTGTCTAGGGGTTGTAGGGTGGGAAGGCCATGGGTCAGGCTTGTTTACTGCATCCCATGGGTGCCTCTCAGTATTAGGGTCTACAAACTTTGGAGGCAGGGTTAACACCTTGAACTCTTGTCCATGATCCTTGAGCCATTCCAAAGTAGTTTCTTGTGGTGTGGGGGAGTGCACTGTCTCGGTGTGTGAGGCCAATGCTGTCAGGATGTGTGCTACATGTCAAAGTAACATCCACTTGAATGCTGGCATAACATTTCTGTATAATGAGACCTTAGTCTTCACTTCAGCTGACAGTGGTTTTAATGTTGGGGTTGAAAGGTTTATGATTGAAAGTGAAAAACAAAATTAAAATGTAAAGAAACCTACGCTGACTGTCAAAAAAAATAAATATAAAAAAGGCAGTCTCTGATGACAATTATGTGTTTCAGTTAGTCACTTATCCATTGTGCCCTTCTTAGTACACGGTTGGTTTTTGTGACACCACCCACTACTTACACTTTTATAATTCACACGACCAACAGAAGTGTTTGTTAAGTAAACATCAGTCATCTACCAGCATCTGCACAAATAATTTCTTCTGTCACATTTCTTGTAACAACAGACTTTACAGTAAGGCTGTGTTCAGCACTTTTGTAAATGTAGAGGGCAAGTAAATGCATGGCTGTCCAGACAAAAAAGTTGAATTCGGCTCAACTTCTCTGAGATGTGCAACTCTAGCAGATTCCATACATGCAAGAACACATTTCAGATAGATCACAAACTACTGTTGAAATCACAATCATCACTACAAAAAATTAACTTGTCACAGTGAATACCGTTATGAAATTCTTTGCACATCACTTTTTTAATACTCTGAGTAGGTTTTGACATCTGATAAGCCATCAAACTCACAGATCTCAGCATTTACTCTGGTACTGTACTTAAGAGCAATTGCGTTCCAATTCTCTAAAGGAAATTTCCTTTTTTGGTCAACAATATTATTTAGCAGAAAATGACTGATCTGAAACAATTAGCTAAATGACATACGACTGGTTATTAACTATTGGTAACATCAAGTGCTATTTTCCCATTTGCTAAACATTTCATTGTTCCAGCCGCTTTAGTGTGAAGATTACTTTCCGTTTTCTTGCAATCTTGATAATTATGATTACAAAACTATTGGCAGACAAAGAAAGGTATTTGGAGTTGTCACTTTGGGTTCTTGGTAACTGTTACAGACATTTCTCACAATTTTCACAGTCAAGGAAGGAAATAATCAACTTAATCCCTGGTTGATATCTTACAAGAAATGCCCTCCCCCTTCAACCAACTACAACAATAAAAATCTGTTATATTTATGTAAGACTGATAATCTAATGTTATACTTGTGTAACACTCACAATTTGAAGGTAAATATACTTTTGAAAATTTTGATTTTTTTTCTGATTATACTTTTGATTCTGTACGCTTGGCTTTGACTTGACATGCAGTATGTTTACAGCATGACATTAGTGCTAGAATCTGTATAAATCCTCTGTCACTGTTCACGTGGCATTATTACCTAAGTTACACTCCTGCTCATGTCCAAAATATGTGCACTTTTTTTTGTTTCTTTTTCAGTAAAGATATTTTTTTTTTCTTTCTTTTTAAACAATTAATGTGCTACAACTGCAACATACATTATACTAATGCTTAATGACTGCTGTTTGCTTGCACCCAGACCCATACATATTGGACAGCATCATACCGTTTTACGCAGGATTCAATCATGTCACTGGACATCAGCTTCAGTCGGGTCTCCAGGTGTTTGCCAAACTCCTCCTCTGGCCAGTGGAGATCTCTGATAAAGGTCTGAAGTGCATCCAGCTTCCAGAAAAGATCCTCTGATGTCCCTGAGCCATTACTACAGGACCACAGGTCAGAATTTAGCATTTTGAACAACAAAACTTGAAAAATGGAAATGAATGACATTCTATGCTGCTCAGGTTAATTACAAAAAGTTTCAGACAGATTGCGTCATCCATTATCCAGTATCTATACTCGGCTTTATCCAATGTAGGGTCACAGGGGGGCTGGAGTCTATCCCAACTGACTGAGGGTGAAGGCAGGGGACACCCTGGACAGGTCACCAGTCTACCACAGGGTAACACAGAGAGACAAACAACAAGACACACTCACATTCACACCTACGGACAATTTAGAATCACCAATTAACCTCAGCATGTTTTTAGACTTTGGGAAGGAGCTGGAGAACCTGGAGAGAACCCATGCTGCACAGGGAGAACATGCAAACTCCACATCGAGAGAACCCGGGATCCTTTAACTGTTAGATGACAGTGTTAACCATCGCTACACCATGCTGCCCTACATTGAATCATGTATTTTTAAAGTAGCACTCAATGAACAAAGTTATCTGATAATAAGGAATAACCCATTCTCATATTTTTGTGAAAATATGTATCACAAGTGACAAATACAAATTTTCATTGGATGGTAACATGTCAAGAGATGAGAAAACTCACATTCAAAATTTTCTTGTAGATTTGAAGTACCATTAAACTCCACACTGTTAGTTTTGTCTACGAGCCTCTAACCAGTGACTATGTACTACTGTTTTTACTTCAATGACCAAAAAAAAGGTAGTTTCAGTGGTATTTTTTTTGTTTGATTTTATACTCAGATGGAGCTTTGCACAGCATATAATATGTGACTGATGCACTTCGACATGGCCCACACTGATACAGGATCCAACACTGTCGTACGCACTACACTGTCAGCAAAGGTGAAAATTTATGCATGTTCCAACGTGTCATTTACACACCAAGCAATATTAATGGGTTAGACTGTGTGAATGTGTGAGTGAAAACACTAATGACAAACAGACAGGACAAAGCACTACCTGCACTCAGAAAAAATAAGACTACATTCATTTTGCATTGTGCACTTCAGTTACAGTTCACAATAAAACAGGGAAAATGTCTAGCTTCATTTTTAGCTACACAGATTCAGGATTCCCACCCATTTCACAATATAATTTTCATGGTACTGTCAAAGCCAAGAGGCCTAACAGTCAAAGATACTTGTACAGTTTAATCATTTCAAGGGACTGCTTTAAAACCACATTTCTCTTCTTTCATTTCTAGAATTAGTGAGTGTGAACCCTCAGTTTGTTAATGACATCTGTGAAAAGGGGCAAAGAGACTGTGTGGACCAGGATTAACAGCAGTACTGCAGCTGCTGCTGTCTTGCTACCAGTGACAATATTATTAATATCCTTACAGATCTGAAGTCAATCTAGTGTTGGGGTTCTAGTTTCGAGCCTTTATTTTGGTAATGGGATTTCCTGTGTGTTTTAAGTTTGCTCTGTATTTTCAGGCTGGGCGGGGCCATGGTCCAAGAGGACTCGCTCATTATCCACCACACCTGTCCCGCATCATAATCAGCGCTGCTTTTAAGCTGGCTGCTCCCTGTGATGCGGTGCTAGAGGATTAACTCCCCAACGAGCGTTAGATGGGCGACGCTTAATTTCGAGTTCTCCTGTTTGTTGTCTGTCAGTTCTATGCTGATGTTCGTGTCTGCATCCTCTGCAGAGCCTCCTCAACCTGACGACTCTCCTGTCCAGCCACGACAAGGTGGCCACTACCAGCAGCAGATCTCCAGGTTTCCCCCGACTGGATCCCAGCCGTCACGAGATCCCTCTTCCCGGAACACGGATTCCCTCCCCTGAGCACTGGAGCACTCCGCTGGAGCACCCTAAGCCCTCTCACCTCTCCCCACGAAGTCCAGCATGCACCGGCACTTCCCCCTCCTGCTTCCTTGGTGTCCTCACTCCTACCCCCGATTAAACACCCTCTTTTTACAACCCACCTCCCTTTGTCGCATTAATTGGGTCCACTTCCTGCAATTTAGGAGTCAACTCCTAACATCTAGTCCCAGCAGATTGAACAAGTAAAATTCAGACATGGGCTCCTCCTCACCAATCTACACAAAGAAGGGAGAGATAATCCAATACCAGGGCACTACAACACTTGGTAATTTGGGGAAAGGCTTTGGAATGTAAGGTGTAAAAAGATGCAAGTTCATAATCAGGCACTGGTTGCTGCAACAGTCACATCTCTGCAAATTTTTGTTTTGTGTTAGTTTGGCAGTTGTGCCATGGTGCCAAAGTAGTTATCAGAGAATATACCAGTTAAGATTTGGAAATACACCAAAATCACATCCTGTGGTGTATATAGACATAGGCTGGCAGGTGTGTATTTATTTCTAGCCATCAGGCAATAGAAATGGACACCTACTACATAATAGTAGCGTATGAGATTACAGCACTGGTTGATGTTAGCGGTTAGCTCAAAACATCCCCTTGTAACGCCTCAAAGAGCTCCTAGTCTTGTTGATGTCTGCAATACATTGTTAGTAGTTAATACATTGATCAGACTATGTTCAATGGTATAAAACATGTGAAGGAGAGGAAAAGCATTATCAACTGCGTAAACATGAACCAGACACCACGCCACTAAAATGAGTAGAAAACTTTAAATAGTAAAACTATTAGCCTGAGCAGACCTGTTTGTTATTAATACATTATTTTTTACTTTTAGAGTGTTGCTTCAGTATTGGTATAAATTTGCATCTTTTCAGTTCATATAAAAGTACATTTATAGGAGGGAAAACGTTGGGATTCCATTTCTAAATCACTGCCTCCTGCTTACATCCACATATATACCATGCTGAGACACTGGCATGAATGTGGCTTTAGGCCTGTATGAAACCCCAGCACCACATCTATGTAGGTTTTCTAATGTTAACTCACGTCCTCTACTCCTCAACCTGCCTCCATGGGCCCTCTTGGATAGCTAGTCTGAGCTTTTGTCGTAGCTCTCTTGATCTCAGGAAGCCTAAAGGAAGCAATTCTATTATCTCTGCTGGCATTTGATGAGGGAATAGGGATGGATGTGCTGCAGTGACGATGTCACACTTTGCAGCATCCGGCAGCATATGAGGGAGCTTTTACACCTTTGATCTTTGTTGTCAGTGCAGACAGCATTTTGGTTAATTTTTCAAAAGTGCTACAGATGAGTGTTAAGTTGCATTGTGATATGCACAGTGCTTTTAGTGAAAGCACTCACAAAACCTAATACTAGAAAGCCTCCAGTGAAATCAGAGGCTGTTACACACAGTTTAAATAAAAAATAAACCCTTATATCACTAAAATAGCAAAACGGTTTAAAGAAAATCATGTCTTCATCTTTATGTAGCAAAAAACTAAACAAATAAACCTCTAGGTATTGTGGCTAATTCCTTTAAATCCCAAAAAAGCTAAAGTAGTACAGACCATGAAAAGCCTATAATTGAATACATTTTTTCTAGTTATGTTTTAATGATTTTTCTTTCAGTCACGTTAAAGTAGTGTTACTGTTAGAAAGTGTGACATCAAGTTTATTGGTTACTGAGGGTCTTCCTTTTAATCGGTTGCTGAATTTATGACACTAATGACCTTTTCTAAACATCTGCGGCAGCTTCTTTATCTTTATCATGGGTATAAAAATGATTATCAAGAACATTACAGATTCAAAACTAAGTTGAATCATTTGAATACAAACATTCTGGTTATTTACATGAATAGTGCTCAATATGCATCCATGTCAACCTCACTGTCAAATGGTCCACAAAAAAATATATATATAGTTTTAGAATAGATGCATGTTTTGTTGCACATAATCTTGTTGCTTTGAGGTCCATGCCACATTCATGCCAAGGACATTAGTGTATGTCTCAGACTGTACAAGGCAGATACACACTCAGAGTCATAACTAGTTGCCATCCAGTTGGGTGGGGAAAAGCTGGGCAATTGCGGAAGGTTAACAGTAGGAACTGTTAGATTTGATACTTGGGGCATTTGGAGGTTGACAATAGGCAGAGTACTTGTTATACTCCTGTGGAGAGAATCAGAATAACAGAAAACAGAAGACAGATCCCAGATCAAAATTCAAGAAAATGAGCAAAAGACAACAAGCTCAAGATAAATTGAAGTCACACTTAAACACATCCTCTTATATATATTTTTTTAATCTGCTTGACAGCACTCCTATACCCAAAACTTTTTCCCAGCTCACTGTTTTGTAACCAAACCATTAGAAAGTCCCTGGGCAACCTGGACAGGTCGCCAGTCTATTACAGGGCTACACAGAGAGACAAACAACCAAGCACACTCACATTTATGCCTATGGACAATTTAGAATCACCAATTAAGCTCAGCATGTTTTTGAACTGTGTGGGAGGAAGCCGGAGAACCTGGAGAGAACTGACGCTGCACAGGGAGAACATGGAGACTCAGTGAGAACATGCAAGATTCCAGCCGGGACTCGCCTCTAGCTGTGAGGCGATGGTGCTAACCCCCAAGCCACTGTGCAGTCCTAAATTAACACAGAATAACTAAAATTCCAATTACTAACTGAAATCCTGTAATAATAATTTGTTTCTATACCAAGTGGAGATAGTGTGTTAAGGTACAAGATAATGTTTACTTCATAAATATGTGTGAAACAGAATAAAGACGAATAAATGGTGTCTGAATATTTCTGAAGCAACTGCTGAGAGGCAGCAAGTAGCAGCTACACATTCATCTGATGTTTTTGTGCTCTATCTGGTTTGTTATTCAGAAACCTGTACCTCTATATCTAAGTGTTTTATTAGATGAAGCTTTACTTTTACAGTTTGTTATATTAATAGGGTCTAGTGTGGAACTGGGACACAACAGTGGGCTGGGGAAAATTTATGGGACCTTATGGGTACAAAAAGAACAAACACTTCAGATGCACAACAACACAATTAAATGCATAGAATAAAAAATAAATAAATACATAAATAAACCCCAGATGTTTTATCAAACAACAAACTGGATTTTATTCCTGAGAACACTGTGTGTCCTGAAGGGGGATGACAGCACAAAGGTGGAACAGTGATACTAAAATGCGCAAATTGACTCTGGGGACCTAATCATATGGCAAATAACACATTAATATGTGACAGAACAGAATAAAAATACAATACAAATACAGAAAAGCAGACAAAGAGACTAAACAGCATCTGTTATGCTAAAAAAAAAAAAAACTGTTCTTGCCATAACGCCACAAACTGATGGAATAGTATAAAGCTGTTTTCACATGACTCAGAGTCAACATGTATATTCTGTGTGTAACTGGTAATTTGCATACTATGAATTGAAAAATGCAAGAACAATAGAAAACATGATGAATGTAGCTTTTTTTTTAAGAAAAACAAAAACTTATTTATTTATTTTTAACAGCAAAATAAGATAATGTTATACCCCCTTCATAATTGGAATTTCTTGCCATTTAAAGAGAAATTCAAAAAATGAATTCTGGAAAAGTAAGGATTATATTTCAAGATGTGTTTGTATGTTGATTTATACAATATATTAAATGATTCTCAATTATCCATTAAAATAATGTATTTTTTAACAGCCACTTTAAATATGTTATATTTGTGATCCAAACTAAAAAATAATGCTAACTCAATCACAAATGTCAATATCACTCCGTGTTGTGTGTCTGTCTATATACTTTATAATGATGAAGTGTGAAAGCAAAGCTGAACCAATGCATATGTCTGGCTTGATCTTTCACAATACATGCCAAATCTAGGTGAGACAGATAGAGGAAGGTAAAGTAAATAAAGCATCCTTACTTAACAGGTTCCCAAGTTTCCTTTTCAAAGCCTCTGTGAATGGACTGTGCAATTGAGGACTCCATCAGGTCCACATATCGCACTACCAGGGGAGCATACAGGTCCTGCAGGTGTTTATGGAACTTCCCATTGCACAGGTTATCTGTGGAAGGGATGAAATAAGATGTGTAACTGACAAAACATACCAGCATACAGTGATAGGATGCTGCAGGTTAAAATGTACACAGAATAATTAGATCTGTTTCCTAGTGCGAGGTAACCTCCTATTTGTACAGCTTCAGGGACACACAGTTAAGGTCTGCCTACTCTGGAGGTGTTTCAGTCAAGGTTTAGAGATGCACTTCTGTTTTGATCACTACAGATGTCCACAAAGTCAGCATAACATTTCACTGCTGCTTTATGCCTGTAATCTCCCCCCCAGGTGGTGATAATGAACAATGACAGAGGGGGTTGGTGTTTGTAGCTCTTCATTAGCAGGTATGACACAGCATTTCCACTTTTCAGTCTTTCTAAGGAAAAGGTCAGAGTCTCAGAGTGTTTCGAAATCCATCCTGTCACACACATTTCCCCCAGTCTCCGCCGGCTCCCAACTGGTAAAAAGGCAACTCTGACAAAGACCACAGGAGATAAAATGGAGGCCAGTGTGTGGTAATGTGATGCCTCACGGCTCCATGCAGTGTGTCTGCTTTTCCTCTCCCTCTCTCTCTTTGTTTTTCTCTCCCCCTCTGAGCATGTGTGTGTTTGTGTTTGTGTGTGTTGGCATTGAAGTCAAGGTCGATGATACACAGTAGGTGCAATGTTTGTTGTGTTCCCTGATTGCCACTCTCCCAATTAGCCACTTGAGCGGCTGCTGTCCACTTGGATGTGTTGTGTCCAGGAGTGTGTTCGCAGGGCTCGCCGTGGCCCAGCTACTACTGCTTTAGACCTCATTAACTCCTCGAATGGCAGCCCGACTTTGGCGCCTGTCTAGTGCTACGGCTATTTACTGCTACATAAGTGCACCGCTGTGGGGCAACAGAGCAGATGACCTTCTGTGGAAGATGTCCCTGTGATGATGCACTTTTACTAAAGTGTGCTTTTTACACTGTGTGGGCAGTGGGGGCTCTGCTGGGTCTTATGTGAGGGCTGAGGATGGATTGCCTGTACTGCATGAAGGACTCCAGCTGAATGAATAATAAATAAATGAACACATTTGTAACACACAAAGAAATGTACACAGTCTGTGGGAGTCTGCTTTTTTATTAGTCACTGCATTATTGTCAGCTCTCTCCTATTTACTTTTTACTGCTACCTTGTGTAACTACCTCCATTGCTATGAAATTCAGTTACTGTTTTCAAACAACTGACAACAAGTAGCAAATGAGAAGGAGGTATTTTGATGACACTAACAAGTGCGCATAACAAGCTATTTGCAGTCACGTCTGTTCAGCTGAATAAGTGAAGCACACTCTGCCTTCTCCTTGACTCCCAATTGACAAACTGAAAAGGGGAAGCATTCCCCAGGGACAATTAGCACCCTGCAGATTGAGTTTGCATTGTGAGCAATGAAGTGTATCCTTTACAGGACCATGGACAGCTCCACAGTGTTCCTGCAGGCAAGTGCATGCAGTTCATTAATGAGATGGCTGACCTGCAGCAACCAGCATCAAGACCTAACCATTATCTTCACTCAGACACTCCTGGTCCTGATCTCACACACAGCTCCAGGCCAAAAGCACATCTCATACTGATAGGAGTGATTTTAGAGACATTTGAGGGATGTTTCAGGGTCAACAGCGGCTGGAAAGCGGCATTAGAAATGTATTTTTGTGTTGATTATTATCACAGAACTACGTAAAAGGAATGTTAAACAGTGATTACACAAATGGTTCTTTGGATTTCTTCTTCTTGTTTTTTTTTTTTTTTTTTACATAATATTTAAGGGATACATTGCTTGACAACATACTAACAACAAATCACATCACAGAAAAAAAAGCTATGTGTAAGCAGTCCTTTAGGAGCAGACACGACACTGTAGCAAAGCTGTGTTGGATGTGTTTTTGTATTAAAAGCTGGTAAGATGAACATGATATATAGATAATGGATGGATAGATGAACATGACAGGTCGTCCTTGTGGTGGAACAACCTTTTACATGAAGAGCTGCAGTAAATATATATATTTTTTTGTTATGGGGTTGTTGGTGTGGAGATGCTTCAGGTGTGTAAAGCCAAACAGATAGTGCCAAACATGGCTTGGTATCAACATGAAACAGAGTGATGACATGTATTGCAAACTGGGCAGTACCAATGACACTGAGGAATGACAAAACTATTTGTTTTCATAATTTTTTTTCTTTAAAAGTGTTCACATTCACGAAGGAATTTGAAATTTAAGTTCATAAGAAATAGTGATTTGTTTTGCGCTTTAATATGCAGTCCACTCCATGACGATGTGGACAGCTCCACTTTCTTTCTTCTTCAGGCTCTGTGCCTCAACACATTCAGTTTAGAATGAATACGAAAAGTGGTGAGTCTCAGCTTGAATTTAATGGGACTGACATTAGTAAAGAAATAACTATGTTATGGGATTCAACCCTTTTCTTACAGTATACAGCAGAAGAGAGTGGAGCCCCCTGCAGTGTCACTTGAATGTAAAAGTATTCAAAATTGTATCACTTTTACAAAATTGCATTATTTCTAAGTGACCAAGTAGAATATTTTCTACCTTGATGAAACATCAAATCAAACACTGTAGAAAGACTGCATTGACAATACCCTTCCTCCTGTGTTTGCTTCCTGTTACCATCCCCTGTGTTAACAGGTCGGTTTTGACATGTGTCTTAAATCAGCTGTAAAATACACTAAAAACAATTTTCTATCGTTCAATGTTTTTTTTCTCATCTCTTGGTTACCTTGTTAGGCTTCCTTATCCATGAAAACATTGGTTTTTATATTTTTGGTGTGGGCCTCTGGGCCTTTTTTTTATGTCAGTATACCCCTCGCTTTAAATTTTAAAAATGGTAAAATGAACCTCAAGAGAATGATATAGATAAACAAAAGGTTGTTGTGTTACCTGACTATTACTGAGGGATATTATAACCCAGCTCTTAAATAAATTTGTTTTATTTTTAAAAAAATTTTAAAATATTTTTAGCCATAGTAACATCTATGATGTTATGGGTCAATTTCCACCCTTATATATTTACTTCAAGAGAAAGGCAAAAAAGTATTTTTTTTCAGCAATGGGTGGTAAGTTTCCTCCTGAGAAGTTCTTGTCCAAGGTCATAGCTGGTAAAAAAAAAAATTGTCACAAGTGATATTGTGACTCAGTAGTCACATCGAGAACCACACGTTTTCCTTGGTTTTTCTCAGGGATGCCACTTGCAGCTTTGCCTGTGTAAATCTGTAGATTCCAGGCATAGCTGGTTTTTGCATCACAGGCTGCCCAGATTTTTATGCCGTAGTTTCCTGGCTTACTGGGCATGTTTTGCCGGAAGGGGCCTTCTCCTCCGAAAGGGACAAGACTTTCATCTACTGTCACCTCTGGCCCTGCATTGAACATGACTAGAAGAAGCTTCACCCATCTTTCCCAGACATCCCTGATGGGGGCAAGTTTGTCACTTCTTGCTCTGGTATCTCTGACTCTTGATACAATTTGGAAGGCCTGAAGTGACATTGTAGCCGGGACAATATTTCTGCCTGTCGATGCGTCCCAGAGACTATCAGTGGCCTCACTGCAGAATCTGTACACTCCAGCAAGAAGAACGGCAATACAAGCATCCAGGTATTCCTCATCAATGTGTTTCCACATGTCGCCATGGACTTTTTCTCCTTCAAGGTTTGTCATAACAATAATGACTCTTTTAGTGACAATGGCATAAATAGCTCAAAACATGTCTTGATGTCACAGCAAACCTTGTGATTCCAGGGGTCATTTTAATGACATTTGCAGCAGCTGCCCTGCCATGTACATCATGAGGTACTGAGCTCCACAAGATCTCACCATCTTTGGACTTGAATCTTTCAGCAGGAGTAGCTTCACCACTGGTGACCTGCTCATCAGACTCCTCAGATGTGTCTGCTGGACTATACTCCACATTGTCCACCTCCCCAGACACCTGCTCATCCAGGTCGCTATGCTGGTCTGTGTCCTCTCCCTCATTTTCATCAAAAATATGATCCAGGACTTGGCTCAATGAAAATCTTCTCATTTTTGCTCTCTGCAAATTGGAGATGTGCACTCTGCAAGTCACCAACTCTATACTGAATTGATCTCACATGTCTGGACATACCGGTCTTTGTTTTGTTTTTGTGCAGGTAAATGGGAAAACAAGGCTAAATGAGAATCAACTTGTAGTAAGGGTATTTTATGAGATTTTTCACAAATCTGCCAACTAAATCGTTACCAAACAACTTCTTCACCAATATGTTTGTAAAGGTGTAATAACATGCCTTAAAATGTTGAAGTTCAACTCTCGTGGGAAACCCTGAAAAAAACCTGCTCAAGTTAGGGTACCGATAAATGATTGACGAAAAATGGATTTTACAATTTCTATGTGATGAATATTTTAAAAAACAATATTAGCAGGCCTGGTGAAAGTCAAAGATGAACTTAAAACACTGTCTGAATCAGTGCAGTGTTTGTAAAAATGACATTTCTTCTAAACTGGTATCTTCACCCGCTGACTGTGAGAAAACATGAAATCAGCTGTTGGTAAATGTCTGAACTAATCATTAACAAATGAAATATGTGACTTTTTCTTCTTTTTATGTCCATTATGTAGGATTTATGATCTTTTTGTCTGTTACACAGCTCTATGTGGGAAACCTGTTTAACCACAGATGCTACATGATTCAACTTAAGTTTAAATGTTGTTTCTCAGGCTCCAGATCATTCATTACAACAAAACCATGTTGATCTGATTATTTTACCGACTAAAATACATCAGTTTTCCTCCCCTGATGCCTGATAACCAACTGACTGGACATACGGTGTGCAGGGACTCAGGATGACTTTGTGGACTTTAAACTCCACATCCTCCACCTTGATGAGTGCATCGTAGAACTCTCCATTTAAAAAGCGCTCGTAAAAGTAGTGCGAAGGCCAACTTTGTTCGCTCATCGTGACTTTTGTTGAAAAAGTTTTCACAGTTTTTGAGCTGCTGCTTCACCTCTGGTTGGCTGAGTTCTGATAGATTTCTCAGCAGAGTCAAGTGTATAAATGTCTCCATGTGATTCCAGAATAGAACACGTCGACATCACAATGAGCTCACTTCACCCTGCAGCCAGTTCAATGATGTCTGTGTTTAAAGAGTTAGTTTGTGCTTTATTTTCCTGTTAAAACCGTCTTCTGATGAAATGTATACCAACCTGACAGGGGATTCACCACTACAATAAACAACTCAGTGGTTCTACTATTAATCTACCAAACAAAAGAGGATGAGGCTCATGAATTACACTCAACTTCAGTTTTATCAGTTACATCCGTACAATCCAGTATAAAAAAAAATCTTCCCCCTTTAAAGGCAAGAGGTGTTAATGTAATTGTTTCATTGGCTTTGTTCATGACTGAGGTGGTAGCCGGTGGGAGGGCTGTACTGCACCGCATTAAGCTGGAATGTGATTCTGATATTACACTCAACATCAGAAGTGTTTCTAGTCCAGTTTATCACCACAGCAAACTATAACCTCAAT